CGCAATAAAAAACAATCATTCTCACGTACGTGGGATTGGGACGCAAAACCCTATAAGGGATCTAACGCATTTTTCTTTTTCACATGAGAACGCACTAAAAAAAATCATTCTCCCGGACGTGAGATCGGACTCAAAACGCAATGTTTCTTTTCACGTGAGAACGCACTAAAAAACAGCCATTCTCACGCACGTGAGAATGGGACACAAAACCCCATAAGGGATCTCACGCATTTTTCTTTTTCACGTGAGAACGCACTAAAAAACAATCATTCTCACGCACGTGAGATTGGTACGCAATGTTTCTTTTTCACGTGAGAACACACTAAAAAATAGCCATTCTCACGCACGTGAGAACTGACCGGAAACTGTCAAACTCCCGCACGAAAAAGTAATTACGTTACAATGGCTAATTTCCAGCCCAACTCACGTACGTGAGAAAGACGTGAGAATGGTCAAATTTTTGACCTATAAATAACTCGATATGTATGATAGACAGTACAAGCATCATTCTATAGTCCCACTAAACATACATGTACTTTGCGCCATTGTCACAATAACCTCATATTTATACTATTAATATTTTACATATCCACAGTAAGACACATTAAAGATTTAGGAATGATTTCAGAGTAGAACTTTATATTTTACATATTAATAATGAGTACAACTTAATTTTTTTTTAGTTCAGTTAAAATTTGTTTCACAATTTAAACTACTGTCATACTATGGTGTGTTTCATTGTAATCTGTATAAACTAGTACGGTGATGATGTAACCATTTTGAGAATTTAGTAGAATTAAAAAAGTTAAAAAAAAAAATAGTGTTGATAAAAGTGTCAAATCTATACATGTTATTGTAGCCCTTGTAACATTTTATTTACCTCAAACTACTATAGAACAGACAAGTAATGCTGCTTCTTCTTTGGTTAGATGTGTGCCACATTTGTTTTGGGGCTTAACATTTTAATCCAATAAACAATCGACCGAACTAATGAGCCTATAACTTAATAACGCAATGTCCTATATTATTTCATCAAATAATGTAAGATAGTGCGAGATGTACACAGGGAGTAGTATTAGTTGGGTTGTAGTTCATTTTCTGTTTTGGTTAAATGCTCTCCACAAATGCGACAAAACATATGAAAGTTATTTCTATGTTTATTCTCCTTGTTTCTGTAATTATACAAAAAACAAAAATAGAGCTTCGGTTCCTGCTGAATATTAAATGACATCAATCGCTTAGCTGCGAGAGCAAATCAAGTTTTCAAACGCATTGTCCACAAAAACTATGAAGTGTCCCCACAACGGAACACTGTCAATGCAAACACCGCTATTTGACCTTTATAGAAACAGTTCGACAAATTCTGGGAAAAGTCTAAATAATTAGAAATGTTACTATAAATTTGCTTAACCATAACTTGTGCAAATTAGTACGGAAATTATATTCCAATTAACTCTATCTATTTGAGCGTCTTATGATTTTTTTTGTTTTTTTAGTGTTAGCAGAGGTACATTACTTGCAATGCGCATAGTACTGTATGGTGACATCATGCCAAGATCCCATTCAAGGCTCATTTTGTAGTTAGCGAGACTGATGCTACGACCTTCTGACATGACATGTATTACCACATTCATAATGAAAAAATGTATATAATACATCAAAAATGTACAGAAAATATAGTTATCGTAATCTGTCATATCGTGAGCAGCTATTTTGATCCACCTGGACATCCCAGTATCCTAGTTACCTCGGGCATGCCCATTCGCATTTTTCTGAATTGGAACGCTTATGCGAGAGCGAGATTGAAACAGGATCTTGGTATCATGTCACAGTAGTTGCAAACCCCAAGTAATGTACCTCTGGTGTTATTGTACTTTTTCATCAAAAGATCAAATATTGGGTACAATAGCAATAAATATTCATAATTCTACTCTATTCTATCAACAAAACTTGGCAAGAACCCTGTAGCACTGGAAAAGATACGAGATTCTCCCACCAAAGATCAATTTTCAACCCAAAATTCTTTGCAAAATCCAATACTAGTATGATGGAAGTATTTTTCTTGCCCCAGAGTCCTCAGTCTGAGCCTAGTGTAGCAGCTATATTCAATTTATCAAATTACAAATTTATGACAAATTTAGTAATGAAAATAAATTCATATCATTACTAAGTGACGAGAAAATATCAATTCCTTTAGCACAATATTTAAAAAAACTGTTTTAATACAAGACAGCAGCACCTACATAAAGATAAAACTAAGCCACATTCCTTGTACATGTATACACATTTTTATCCTTTTTTTTCTTTATGCTTTTTGTTTCTTTACTTTTTATGTAGTTATTTTTCTTTTACTAATATCTGATTTGTAACCCTTTTCCTCCGGGGGGATGTTGTGTGTTAATAAATAAATATCAACTTTTCCAGCAAAAACGTTATGAACATCAGTATTTTCTCACGCGCTTGATATTTAAACTTACATCGGATTCGACAACGTCAGACATCAGATTAAATTAACGGCAACTGCCACCACTGTTAAGTAACCGTTCTGCCCCAAACAAATCCTCTTCACATTTTTATAACACACGTTTTTCTGTTTACAGCGTTGTCGTTAAATTCGAATTCGGATTCAGACTATAATTGCGGTTTCAAAAAAAAAAGGATAAAGTTACGAGGAACAAAATTATTAAGTAGAGGCGATCGGTTTACTGAACATACACATAAAAACACCGACCAAAGCCCGCGATCAACATCGGATTTACGATGACAATGTGAATGTATAATTTTAACAGCAATAAGACAGTAAGAATCTATGAATTACATGATAATATATCTGACACCAACTTCAAAACCGCATTTGTCTGTTCGTTATTTATCTTCTCGTTACAGTTTCTGTTGACCACTTATCTTACAGAAATATTCCTCGTTTAAGCACATGTGTATATTCCATAATTAAGCACATCAAATTCATTCAAACGAAAGAAATATTCTGTTTTATCAACCGAAACAGTTTATTAAATAATTATATCTTTCATACAGGAGAAATTAATTGCAAATGCAATTGTAACGTAAATTTTTGAGCAATCTAAGGGGTCACTATATTTAGCTAACGCCACCTCATCTTTAGCTTGGCGTGAACGTGGAGTATTGGTGTTTTGTTTGTTTTGGTGAGTATTTCATTAAATTTAGTAGATATTGGCCTTCTGCGAAAAGCATGTCTGTTTTCAACTGCCACTCAAAATATTCATTTGTTCTATTAGAATTGGAAATAACACGACGAAGATGAATTTTTAGTTCAATTGAATGACCGTCTGGATGCTAAACAAAACAACGAACAAATAAAAAATATCATTTTTTATTTTGTTCTAATGAATGACGTTTTTATCTTTGATATAACCATGGAGCTAAAAAAACAGCTGCATGGTGTTTTCGTTTAGCCATATAGTCTAATGTACTCCTTTCCCTGTTAACAGCTAGTGTGTCCAGATGCTGTTGTTCTTTTAAAAGTAAATCACAGGCCCTCATTCTGATAGAGGGACTGTGAGTAAAAAGAAAGCTGCTGGGTCTGAGCATGGTAGGTACTAACGGAAGGAGCCACGACACCTATCAAGTAGCCACTTAAGCCTCTTAACTGGCTTATTTCCTTTTGTTTCAACCCAAATTAATCCTGATAAGGACATTGTTTAGCTCATCTTTGATGTCTATGATAGTTTGCGATTGTTTACACAAGTAACCAGTTAGCGGAGTATGATACAACCCCGCCATTTTTTTAATGTGACTATAAAATATATGCGCATTTTGAAACTACGGTCATCACACATGCGCACTGGGTTTGTTTAGGTGTGAAAGGTCAAAATACGTATTTCTCAAGAGGAAATTCAACAGATGAACGTTTGACTTCACAAATTTCACATGTTTTAATTATTATTAGCAACTGTAACTAGAACAAAATTTCGAGTGCCAACTGCAACAATTCCTAAGGACTCCTAAAAAATATTATCGCAGAGAAAGTGTCTAGGCATGCTCTTCTTTCGATACTATCTTTTCTGTTGGTGTTCGCAGATGTCCGGTGGTCAAAATTTTTGACAGTTTCGGGCGCCAAATCCACGCACTGAATAATGCAATCGTCACAAGCAATCATTGATTATTGAAGTCTCATTACCATTACAAATACAAAATTCACGATTTTTCATCAGTTCTTCTTCAATCAATGTTATATCTGACTGACAATTTTCCATTAAAGTTCGCCAAGATCTCCGGAAACAACAGCATTCAAACTAGATGCCATTTTCAATATTGTACATGCAAGGGTTCGACTATCGCTTCCGAACATGCTCCGAATATTACCGAATGCTCAAGATTAGCATAACCCATTGTACGAAGGTGCTAAGAGCTAACGAGAACCAATGTTTGTGAACAAACAATGACAAACAATCATGGGTAAAGCTAAAACAATAGCGTCGTGGCTCCTTCCGTTAGTACCTTCCATGGTCTGAGATTATTTATGACAGTTTTTTTGTTATCATGAATATATAGAATGTACACTCCAAAATCGCTTATTATTGGACCAGACATGATTCTGGTGAATAAATTCCATTGTTTTCATATTTTTAAAAAATATCTACACTATATTATAGCCATTTTGTATCTGCATTATGAATTTAATTGTTAACTTATTTGTTGTATACAAACAGTTCAGGTTTCCTGATATTAGATAAAAATGGATTTGATGCCGATCTATAGGATATTGTTGGTGCTAGTTTGTTGTGTGGTCATGGTGTGTGTGGCACAAGTAGCACAAATGAATCAGGGTACTCATCATGCAGATCATCATGCTGACAGAGCAAGAACTTTAAAAGATAAAGGAAAAATACATGATCAGAAGTAAGTACAGCTAATTGACTGTTGGTGTTTATAGAGGGATATTATGGATTTGTAGAAGGGGGGATCATGGATTTATAGAGGGGTATCATGGTTAGGCTATAAAACGGTAGTAAGAGCAATAAATATGTCCTATATTTATCAGTTTACACAATGCCGTTCTCTAATTTTACCCTGTATGTTATTGGCAATAATTGGAAATATGGCATTTTCATTTTCTGTGTCATATTTACATAGTCAAATATGGTATTACTTGTAGAGGGCAAGCCAAATTTCTGTAATTTACAATGTATTTCCATACTGGTACAATAACATGTTCCTTGGATGGAGCTCATTTCATAGTACATGTAATACTATCAGTACATCTTATACAGGTATTCTATTTCTTGGGTTGCTCTGAAAATTGTATTTTTGACTTTAGTATTTTGGAAACAGGTTGAACTTCTTTGATGCATTTTACTTATGTACATTTAGTTCTATGAAATTAAACACCTAGATGCAATATTCTTTTTGATAATTGGCAGAGCATTATAATTGGCTTTTGATTCACAGGCAGAGAATTTATCACTTTATGCCCTGCTCTGTGGTCAGCTTCTATATAAGTACATGTTCTACTGTTGAGTTTTTGTTGTTGTCTCTTACCTTGTATTGCATGTCTACTTACAGACACATCATGGAACATTTAGAAGGACAGATCAACAAACCAGAGAGTGAAATGACTGATGAAGAACTGCAATTTCATTATTTTAAGATGCATGACTATGACAATAACAACAAATTAGATGGTATTGAACTAGTTTCAGCAATGACACATTATCACAAAGAAGATGAAGGAGATGATGCACCACCACTATCTGAAGCTGAAATGGAAGAAATGATTGATCAGATACTTCAAGAAGATGACGGCAACAAAGATGGCTATATTGATTTTCCAGAATTTGCATTATCAACTATGTAAAAAGTTAAATGTTTTCAGCAGCAATGATGACAAGAGATTATAAATACTATGGGAAATATATTAGAAAATTATTGCCATTTTTTTTGGTCACAAATGAACTCTAGTCCAGAGTTAAAAAAAAAAAAAATCTTATAAAAATTTCAAATAAAACTATGCCCTATAACAGCTATAACTTGAAGGTCACATTTGGGATCACAGGTACAGTTCTGTAATTTATCTGTGCAGTTCGTGAATAAAAACATTTGTCTGATTCATTAGAGGTTAGATGCCTGGCATAATTAAAACATGCACACAGCTAACTTTAATATTTTCATTAAACATTCAACTTGCAACAAACATTGGAAACGACTAGGTACACAGAAATTGAAATCACTTTTAAACCCCTCCCCCCATATTTATAGACAAAGACCACATGCTTGCTTACTTAATTTTGAGAAAAAAATGAAACTGAAAGAAGTGTGTAGCATGTACTAAAAACATGCATGTACTTTGGATTTACCAAATAATGGTCTGTATTCATGTCCACTTAAATGTCTTATTATTTCAACGATGGTTTTTTAAATAAAAAAAGATTTTGGTGTTTTTATGACATGTAAACTTGCTACATAGAAGTTTTATAATTCTGACAAATTTTGCACTTTACAAGTACTTTGTGTGAAATGTCCAGTGTACAAGTACAAATTTTGTGAATTTTTTAAGTGAAGTTAATTTATATCCATGCAGTGCCATGTTCTGTAATCTTCAGTGAAAAGAAAAAGAATGAAATGAAATTAAAGTATAATCAAAATTGTTGTATGTGGTAGTGAACTAGACCATGTAACATCCATGTTTTTAATTGTTCATGGAAACATGAACAATTAAGAACATAATTAAAAAAATACTCTGGAAATAATTCTCTGAATTTGTCTCTATTTACACAAGTTTATAACCTGTGCAATACATTTATAGAATATTTTTATGGTAGTATGAACTGGTGAATAATAAGAGGAATGTATTAAAGTTGCTTTCACAACCCCCTTACCAATTGTTCACTTTAGTTCATTTACTAAATGCAGTAAAGAGATGAGATGTTTGACACCATTTGAAAAACACAAATCATTTGTTTACTATGGTTAAGTTGCCTTATCTGTATTTGTGTTTGTTCACAACTGTATCACAGGTAGGTTTATGAATAAAATGTGGTGCATACATGCTAATATGGGTTGAAATGTGTGCATAATTATTTAAATTGCATGTAAATTAACCAATTTACAGCTGAATACATATAATTAGATTTTTTTTACTTGCATTTCAAAAACCACACATTTCAATGATGATTTGATAATGTTGAATTGAAACTAGGCTGTGACTTGATCACATGAATATATATATATATTTACATTAGTAACTATGGTGGCATGTTAGATTGATTTAGCGTGATTTGAAGGTGTATCATGAAATAAAGTAGAAGTTGTATAGAAACTCTGAAATAGTGTTCAATGTAAACAAAATGTATGATTTAGCGTCTGAAGAAATGTTTACATTTATATATAATCTAATGACGGTGAAAACAAAAATATGATTGGGCAACCAACTCTGCACAGAACATGCCAAACCACTGAAAAGTAATATACCCAACCATTGATCTTTGTTCAAAAGTTGTACAGGGATATTTAACTTAAAAATACCTGACAACAATTCAGAGTCGTAGTTGAATGTTTTTGTATGAAATGTGAGCTTTACACGAGACAATTGACTTTGATAAGCACTTGTGGGTTAGTCTGTGTGCACCAGCATCTGTGCGTCCGGCGCTGTATGAGATGTCTGTTGACTGATTCATTTCGAATCTTGCACTTATTCCATCTAGTCCAATGCATACGCACATGCAATAAATTTGTGATTAGGTCTGAGATGACCAAATGGAGATCATTTTTGTTGTAAAAATACACTTGGTATTTTGACAAATCCAGTACTAGAGCTTTGGCATGTGTTGACAATTTAATTTAAAACTTGGAATGGTGGAATGATTATTCATTATGGGTACAATGTTGTTGATGCACTTCACTTTGATTTGTAAATTTGGTCATCTTGTTTTTGACATTTCATTCCAGACATGCATCTTGCTTTGAGCAACTAAAGTTTTATACATAGACAGTATGTTATGGCATACATGGGCACATATAATAATTTCATTATCATATCAAAGATGGCCGACTGCTGATAATTACAGTTACAATTTTTAAAATCAGGTATTTTGACATGCCAACCGTTTATGGAATGTGTTGGCCAATTCACTTCAAACTTCAAGGATTAATCCTGATGGGTAGTTGATACATGTATTTGATTTGTACATTTGACTAACTCTATTTTAGACATGTATTTCATAGATGCTTGGAGCAATTCAAACTTTATAAACAATACTTCATGCATATACAATAATTTTACCATCTGAAATATTTTGACATGTATGAAATGAAAATGTCCAAGAAGCAATAATTATGTTGTAAAACCTAAAATTGGGACCATCTGCTAGCTGAGAGTCATTGGACATGCAATCAGCAATGCTTTGACCAATTGATTTCAAAGACAATACTAGGTGCCATACATCAGGATGTCTATTTTGAGATTCGATCAAATGACACTGATTTGCAGCCATATTTGGACATTAATAGGGCAATCTTCGCAATCAGTTCTTGAAGACGGTTGAGCTGATTTCCATCAAATTTTTAGCTCCGCTGTTAACTTTGTCGAGCGGAGCTTATCATATGAATGATTGTCCGTCGTCCGTGTCAACTTTTTACTTGTTGAAAACTACAAGTCTGAATGCTTTGATACTTGGTGTATATCCACCTTGGGTAGACCTTTCTCAGATTTGTTCATTTCATGATGATATCTTCAATTCTCTAATTTTAGTGGATATTTTTGTCATTTTTGGTAAAAAGTGATATTTTCGACTTCTTGTTAAAGTCCGCAAGTCTGATTGTTTTGATATTACATATATAGGTACTACATGTGGACTTCTCTCAGATTTATCCATTTCATGGTGATATCTTCAATTCTCTAATTTTGGTGAATATTTTTGTCATTTTTGGTAAAAAGTTATATTTTCGACTTCTTGTTAAGTCCGATTGTTTTGATATAATATATATACACACTACAGGTATATATAGGTACTACATGTGGACTTCTCTCAGATTTGTTCATTTGATGATGATATCTTCAATTCTCTAATTTTAATGAATATTTTTGTATATTTTGGTAAAAAGTGATATAAAGGTTTGCTTTGATACTATACCAATTGTTCATTTTCTAATGATATTTTCAGTTTTTATTAATTGCAATGTGCATTGTTAACAGTGGAGCTATCTCAGCCGATTGGCTGCTTGTTTATGATATCAAAACAAATGTGATTAAAGTAGGACATTTTTGACTCCCTTAAATAAATACTTCAGTTCTTCATTTTCTTATTACATTTTCATTTTTAGCTCCGCTGTCGACTTTGTCGAGCGGAGCTTATCATATGAGTTATTGTCCGTCGTCTGTCGTCCGTGTCAATGTTTTACTTTTTCCAATTGCTTTGATATTACATATATAGGTACTACATGTGGACCTCTCTCAGATGTGTTCATTTCGTGATGATATCTTCAATTCTCTAATTTTGATGAATATTTTTGTGATTTTTGGTAAAATGTGATATTTTCGAGTTCTTGTTAAAAACCACAAGTCCGATTGCTTATAGATACTGCATGTGGACCTCTTTTAGATTTTTTAATTTCGTGGTGATATCTTCAAATATCTAATTTTGATGATAATTTTTGTCATTTTTGGTGAAAAGTGATATTTTTGAATTCTTGTTAAAAACAGCAAGTCTACATATTGTTTATTTTCTACTGATATTTTTTGTTCTTTAATTGAAATGTGCATTGCTAACAGCGGAGCTATCTCAGCTGACTGGCTGCTTGTTTGATTACATAATCATCATTTTCATTTCATCTCATTTTTGTACAATCAATTGCGTGTGACTCTCAAATACGATTTGATGGGAGAGAGTCGACTTTTCAGAAGCTCAGAAGTGTAAGCAAAAATACAATACTTTTCATTTGCTTTCTCGCATCCATCCAGTGACAACCAAGTAGGCTACATTTGGAAGAGTGGCTGATTACTGGTATTCAGATAACTGTGATTACGGCCTATGTCACTGATAAACCAAAAGCACTGGAAAATTATTTCTATTTTTAGTGTATTTAGATTTAAAAAATGGCAGCTTACATTTAGGTTAATGGTCAGACGCACGCCAACAGACCAGGAGATTATTTGGCAATTCTCTATTATTGAGGGAAATATTTCAAATGTGTATTCTCAACATATTCAAAGTACAAGTATGTGATAATATATTTGTCCATAAATCAAAAAGGCAATGTGGATTATATTTGGTTGAGCTCAGCCTGGGTAAACGCTTATTTTATGTTACAAATGGCCAAGTTTGATTGGATGCGCCTGTTGGAAAGACACCCAATCAGACGATGTGTAACATTGGGGGTAAGCGAAAGAACAAAATATTGGAATTGGCGACGAAAAATAAATGTCCACCATGTTTTAACAATATAATGAAGCTTGTCAACTTTGAAAGAAAATCTCAAAAACTCAATTCAACTGATTATTCAAGAGTTGTACAATTTTCGTGATTTTCCACTTCTTGTTCTTATTGCAAACAAACTCATTTTTTTCAGCTAGTAATGTCACAATTGCATAATTTTGGTGATCGGTGCGGTGCAGCTTTTTATCTCCTTGGCTCGCGAAGATGGATACAAATACATTGCATCAGAATACAGAAGTAACCAAATGTTACTATCATCAACTCACCCCATCGTATACATTTCTCCTCATGTTATATGCGAGAGCGTGCACTGTATATGTTTAAAATTAAAAAACAAAATCGCGAAATTGAGGTGTTAGCGCGAAATCACCTGTAAGGCCAGACTTTTATTATCCCTTGTTTCGCGAACCCGCCGAATGAACAGGAGCCGAAAATGAAATAAAAACAAAATTTTATTTCAGCGTAATTTCTCACGCCCGCCGACTTGTAAGTGCGAAAAAATGCTAAACAAAATTATTTTTATCTTCATTTTTTTTTCCGCCCGCCGCATAACAAACCCAAGTTGCATTTTCGTGGGAGTATCATGATCAATTTGAAAGTAACGAAGTCTCGCGCAGATGAGAAACAAGGTTATACATGGAATAAAATTTTATTTCATTTTTTACAAGCATTTTAACACATTTTATGTTTTTAGTGTGTTCTTTGAGTAATGTTTCACATATTTGCACAAGGATGATATTTATTTCATTTCTTCTCTCCGATCAATGATCTCACTGACAATTCTTTGAGAATCACACAAATCTAATGGAAAAAAAAAATTTTTTTCGCCCTCCTCAAACAAATTGTTTTATAAAAACTCGAGAAACAAGGAATAAAAAAGTCTGGCCTAACTGCGAAATCACCCCGGCTGGTTTATTCTGCATGGCCCTCTATCGACACTACAGGATGTTAATGAGTGTTTTAATTGACAATCATCTAGGCCAATCACAACGTCTCTTCAACTGACCTCTGACCGAGAAGACGTCGGCTGATTGTAGCATTGTCCTGGCACCAATAATTTTTTTTTATTCTACAACAAGTCACTTCGCGATGAGCGTCTTTTGCGGTCAGTAATATTTACGAACATTATTGTTCACTATTGGCGATCCGCTCCGCTAGGATTGCCCTTAAAATAAATTTTGTGTGTCTGTATGTGTGATTTCCAGTGTTTTCACGTATTAATTCTTCTGTGATTTTTTTGGCTTGGCCTATTTCCCTCAAACTTGGCAGGCAAGTCACACCATCACCCTAGTTATTAGATAAAATCTGAAAAAAATTGGCCCACCGTTGCCATAGTAACAGCCAAAAACTGTTTTTTTTGATAGCTTAGTGTCAAATGTATCTCCTACAAATTTAGGATAAAACTCCTCAGACATAGCTCATTCTACTCAGCTTGAGTGTGGGCACAAAGTTGAATTCTGATATCTTTTTTTATTGCTGAGAAATTTGACTTTTCTGTGATTTTTTGGTTGGGCCGATTTGGTTCAAACTTCAGAACAATAGATTAAAAAGTTAATCGTACAAATGTGTTCTTAATAATAACTATTACCCATATTGCCTATAAATTTGTTGATGCAAAAA